AAAAAAAAAAAAAAAGAATACAATAAGGTACATATTATTTAAAATAATCAACTAAACTGGAATCTTATTTGATCATTTATCAGGAATTTGAGAAGTTGTCGATGCCTCTCAATCACCAGCTGCACCTGCTCCGACAGCACCATGTGCACACACTATGTATTTATGTGATGACAGGTGTGTCTCCCTACTTACATTCTGGAGAACACAAGGGGAGTACGGAATAACACTTTAAAACCTTAAGCCCGGCAAACAACCACCACCATAATTCTGATTCAGCCTTGGGTAAATTTAAGGATATATAGATGACAATGAAATATAACAAAAAATCCTGAGAAAAAATTTTAACAGAAATCACCTCATTGGCAAAAGTACTTTGAGAAGTCAAAGTGTGCTTGTCTTCACCAAAGTTAATGATGAGAAAGAGCACCATGAACAAACAGTAACAGTCTACTAGAGGCAGCCTCCAGACACTTTGGGACTAGACTGCTCCACCCAGATTGCTTAAATAATGGGTGTCTCTTGCAAATTCAATTTTAAACACAAGGTGAAGATTTGTTCTTCTGCATCCAGAACTCTATCATAGGCAACCTTGTATTCTCAGATCCATCACAGTGCCCATATGTCATAGCAGCTAAATGCTAAATGAGTGAATGAATTAATCAATTGTTTAAATCACTGAGCATTAAGAGGACAATTAGCAGACACAGTCCTAGCCTTCCTACACCTTCTCAAAAGTGTGGTTTCCTCTGCTATTTAGTCAACGAATACTGTGCACTTATATTGTGAGAGAGAGAAGAAAAAAATCAGACATTACAGGCCCCTTACTCAAGCAGGTCAAGGGCTAAGAAATGGATATAAATGAGTATAACCCAAGGTCTAATTTGATAACTGCCCCAAAAGAGGTATAGATACAAGCGCTTGGGGTCTCCAAAGAATGAAGAGATCATTATGGATATGGGCCTGAGAAACATGAATGCAGCTCAAGAGGTACACAGAAAGCCTGATGGTGTTATACTGGATAAGGAAAGGATATGGAAAATGGGTGGAGGAGACATTCCAATCAGAGAACACAACATGAACAAAAGTACACAGACGGAAAATACTAAGTTTATATAGGAAAAAAAAAGTAGGTCAATTTAACCAAAGTACAGAATGTCAGATTCTAATTATCTGCATTTTTGTTTGGGCATTTTTATGGGAAGAAGGAGTTAATGATGTCATTTTTTTTATTGAGATAAATTCACATAACATAAAATTAACCATTTTAAAATGAACAATTCATGGGCCGGCCGTGTGGCTTAGCGGTTAAGTGCACGTGCTCCACTACTGGCGGCCCGAGTTGGGATCCCGGGCGCGCACCAACGCACCGCTTCTCCGGCCATGCTGAGGCCGCGTCCCACATACAGCAACTAGAAGGATGTGTAACTATGACACACAACTATCTCCTGGGGCTTTGGGGGAAAAATAAATAAATAAAAAATAAAAAAATAAAAATAAAATGAACAATTCAGTGGCATTTAGCACATTTACAATGTTGTGTCACCTCTATCTAGTTCCAAACATTTCCATCATTCTAAAGTAAAACTGCTTACCCATTAAGCAGTTACTTCCCATTCTCCCATCCCCCCAGCCCCAGCCACCAGGAATCTGCTTTCTGTCTCTAGGAATTTACCTATTCCGGATATTTCATATAAATGGATTCATACCATATGTGACTTTTTGTGTCTGGCTTCTTTCACTTACAATAATGTTCTCAAGGTCCGTCCAAGCTACAGCAAGTATCAGTACTTCATTCCTTTTTGTGGCTGCATAATATTCTACTGTAGATATATACCATAATTTCTTTATCCATCCTTCTATTAATGGGCATTTAGGTTGTTTCCACCTTGTGGCTGTTGTGAACAGTGCTGCTATAAAGATGTACATAAGTGTATTTGTTTGAGTACCTGTTTTAAATTCTTTGGGGTATATATTTAACTATCTGCCTTTTTGCCGTAACAGTACATAGCAGATTTCATTCTAGATATCTGAACTAAATGTTTAACCTCACAATGTGGGAGTCTGATGAAATTATCTGTACACTATATTTAAGAAAGAAGCCCAAACAAAATTCCAAACGTAACTCTGCTTCAGGCAGAGGTGGCGTGCCAGACCAGCAACCTGACAGCTTGTCCCTCATGGCTTTCGAAGCTGACATTCCCACTGCTCCCCTCATACTATTCACACTGGCCCAAACTTACTAACCTTCAACTCCAAGGCTCCTATCTGTTAGGTGAACCTAATCTGGCCATGCTTTACAACATGTGATACACACCCTGTAGGCTGATGCTTTGAGGGCAAGATCACCAAGCTCCCATGACCCCCATGAGAGCATACTGGGGGTCCTCGCTCCTGGCACCATGTTGATATATTCCGAGTAGCAACCTCCATGTCACTCCTCTTTGTCTGACATGCTACCACATGTCTGAAAACAGCCTAAGGTGCCCTCACTTTATAGTGTCATGGTAGCCTAGAGGAGGATGTCCTAAGAATACAGTTATAGATTTTGTACAGAAAGGCTATTATGGCTAAACCAACATTTTCTTTAGATTTAAGGACTTCGTTAATTTTTTTCTTTACAGCTAGAAGCTAAATCTAATGAAGGCCCTGCCTCCTACAGCATAAAAGCAATATTTCAAATGTAATATTTATTCCACAAACATTTACTAGTATTTCATATGCCAAGCCCTGTGTTAGAACCCACGGAAGAAAGGTATATTTAGTGCCTGTTCTCAAGGAGCTCACAGTCCAGTGAAGTTGTGGAAACAGCTGTGGATTATATCAAGATTAATCACATGAACTGTAATCTTCTCACTTATCCTTCACTGATTCATCCACCTAACAAAATTACTCCAGTACCTACTACATGTCAAAGAGAAAATAAAATTAAAATGGAAAAGATAAGTTTTGTGTCTACTACAACTAAGGAAGTACAAATAGGCAAGTAATAAAACTTGTTCAGAGAAAAATTAAGGCCAAAAATAAGATGTAAATACATAAACATAACATATGGGAAATGTGTGAAATGAAAATCACTTTAGCAATATTACTAAATTCCAGACATGAACAAAATTTAACACTCACAGATTTCTAGCCAGATGGATTTTCATATTGACAATGAAAGCCAAAGTATTTAATCAACTCAAAACTGGATAGAAGTAAATCAGAATAGGCACTTCCACAACTGTCTTTAATCATTAGATTTTACAGAGAAAATACTCAATCACACAAAGCATATTATGAAAACTAATAAAGTAGCAAATTACATTAAGAAAGCCCCAGATGAGCTGAATTCACAATTTGGTAAAAGGGTTTAAGTCTGTATAAGGCAACGGTAACACTAGTTTCTTCTCAGGCAATACCTCCTTACCTACTTACCTACTTACTTACTTACTTATTTATTTATTTTGAGAAGCTCAGCCGTGAGCTAACATCCATACCAACCCTCCTCTTTTTTTTTTTTTTGCTGAGGAAGTCTGGCCCTGGGCTAACATCCATGCCCATCTTCCTCCACTTTATATAGGACGCCACCTCAGCATGGCCGGACAAGCGGTGCGTCGGTGCGCACCCAGGATCTGAACCCAGGCCGCCAGCAGGGGAGTGCGCGCACTCAACCGCTACGCCACGGGGCCGGCCCCTCAGGCAATATTTAAACTAAAATTATAAGCTGACCATATACTATATATTACCATATAATCTATTTTAAACAAATTGGCTTATCTCATT